GGTGGCCTGTGAAAAACCAGCCAAGATCGGCGGGTGGCTCTAGCATGTACGGGCAGCTCCGGGGAACCGAGAGTCCTGATAGCTTCCAACAAACAGGCAGGCTGCCGGCATGCCCCGTCTTGCAGCGCCGCAGCTCCCGGTCCTCCTCCCAGCCCCGTCGGAGCAGCCTACCAGAGGGGGGCTTCGAACCTACAGGGAAAACCTTATTTTCAGCATCTGGCCATTGCTGTCTGCTGATAAGAAGGCCATTAAAAATGAAAAAGGGAGGCGTCGGCAGCCTGGAGGGCTTCCCGCAGCACGGACCAGCACAGACACTTTGCTTCAGAGTTTGGGGTAACGTGCAGTGCCCGAGCCCAGCCCCGCAGTCAGGAGGTCCAGCGTCACCCACCCGCTGCCCGGCGTCCCTCTGCAAGGACAGACCTGGCTCTGGTATCGCGAGCCCCAGACCCGTGTCCCAAGTCTTCGCCCCTTCTCCATTCACCCATTTCCTAAATTTAGGAATTCAGCGTTTTAAGGAGAGCGAGAACAGATGATGATCTTCTGGTCGGATTCCCGGCACTGCTGGCCTCAGACCCCTGCCTCCCCGCTCTGCCTTGAGCCAAGGGTGCTGAGCTTATCTCTTGAGATATGCAGACTCCTCATTTGAATACTTCAGGAGTTGGAGAATCCACCGCATTCCTTGGTAAATTGTTCCTACGGTTAATTATCCCCACTGTTTAAAAAATTTCCACCTTGTTTCTAGTCTGAATTTGCCTGGCTTCAGCTTCCAAGCACTGGATCTCATTAGGACTTTTTCTACTAGATTAAAGAGCTATCTGCTATCAGAAGCCACCTCCTGCGCAGACTGCGATCAAGCCACCCTTACTCTCCTGGTGCAGCCCTTTCACGTGGAAGCTTTCCCAGGTATCGCCCTACAAGGCACCCGTTCCAAACCTCTTATCCTCTTTGGATCTCCCTCCCAAAGCTTTTCTGTTTGGTCAGCAGAGGGTTTGAAGTGCGGACGCAGGGGCTGGGCAGGAGGCTCGGCGATGCCTTGCTTGTGATGCTCGCCTGCAGAGCAAGGCGCCCCACATGCAGACAGCTCATCCCCAAGCAGGCCCTGGCCACGAGCCCGGGGCTCCTTAGGAGCCTCCTTTCCTAAGCATGGGAGGATGGATAACGCCACGTCTCCCAGAGGGGTTCAGTCAAACCCCTTCAAAAGCAGGAATCCATGGGGCTACACGTTTCCATCAACCAAAGCGTGTGACTCTATCAAGAAAACTACGTCAAATCATTTGACAAGACGACTCGCATTGAACTATTTGGTTTGGCATGGTCCGTGCACCAGCTGTCTGCCCCTCCTTGGCCGGATTCTCCGTGATCTGACCCCAGATTGCAGGAGGCCTTTGGAGCTGCCGGTCTGGCAGAGCCTTCCTCCCGGGCAGAGGATTCCCCACTGCTCCGAAACGCTGCCTGGCAAGTTGGCTCCGCCGAATTCGTGGTCAACGCTTGCAATGGTCCTGGAGTAAGTTCTTTGGTGCAGTTAAGGTATTCAAAAGCTTCCCTGGCTACGGATGAAATGGGCAGCGTTGTTTGCTTCAAAGCACTGGACCAAACCACGCGTGTCCTTCAGCCAGTTCGTTCAGCCGGGCCATGGCCGAGCTGTCGGATGTCCCCGTCCCCAGCCCGAGCGCCTGCATTCCCAAAGGGCTTTCCTAGCCTTACTCGTGCACGGCTACACGCGCCTCCACAGTTTATGTCGAGAACCACGCTGCACACACACATCGCTATTTGTATATTGGCTGACTGGCAACATGGTTTTCTGCTGAATTCCTCTCCCCGTTGGGCCAGGACAGCCTTTCACGCCCTGCAGAGGCCGTGCAGAGCTCAAGGCAAGTGGGGGGGGAGCAGCAGCCCCATCTTCCAGCACAACCCGTGCAGCTGCACGG